ATCCTTAAAGAAAGAAAAGGGGAGTGGTGCTTCCTCTAAATCTGGTCTAATTACTGCTATTATCGGGTTTAAGTCCTTCGAGTCTGTGAAGTCCAAAAAACCTTCCACCATGGGTGAACTTTCTTCTCCAGAATTTCCTGCCCCCAAGCGTCAGAAAGCTGAAGGATCCTCACAAGTTGCGCCTGCATATGTGCCTGCTGACCACTTCAGGCCCCAGATGTTTCGACCCAATCGTGCCACCCATGTGTTGACCAATGATAGCTTTATGGAAGCCCAGAATTGGGTTTTCAAATTAGCAAAGGGTTTTTTCTACCCAGGGACATTGCTCTCTTCAAAAAGCTGGATGATGGAATGCTGCATTGAGTTAGCATTTCTAGTGCCATCAGGGTATCTCCTGACGTTTCCCTTGCCTACACTTTTCCTTTTATCTTCTGGTTTCAGTTGTCTAAATATTTTGTTTTCAAGCCATTCAAGTCTGCCATGAGAGCATAACCAGAATTGAGAATGCAAGGATCGTTGCCCATATTGAGACCAAAAAGGCAGTTGGGTCCATATGCTCTTGTGGCAAGTTGGAGCAAAAAGTGAACCATACTATTGAGTTGGCTAAGAAACTTAAGGAGAAAAAGGACGTTGCCGATACCGCGATTCAGACACTTCGCATAGAACTTACTGAATCTACTCTTGCTTATAATGTGGAAGTGAGGAAGGAGGGAACAGAAACTCTTAACAAGTATACTCCAGAGACCAAAAATAAATATCTGGAGCAAATTTATTAGCTTCAAGATGATTTGTTCATGAATGGGTGTAAGCTACTCTGGAAAAAGCTGGGATAGCCCCTGACTCCCCTATGTACTCTGAGCCATTTCTTTCCTGGCCCAAGTATTCCTTCTGCCAAAGAAGCAGCAGAAGAGGAGGTTGAGGAAGATGAAGAAGTTCCCTCCGAATAAGATCCTATAGTGGCCTCCTCAGAGTAGATCGCTGGTTCTGGAGGTTCTGAATCTCTAAAAGAGGCCTCCCTTCATGTTTCTCTTACTCCTCCATCTGTTGAAGATCCTACTTCTCCTGCTTCTACTCAAAATGAGGCTTCAAAGTCAGTGCCTACTGCTACTCCTGATCCTACTGCTGCTGAAGACCCCGCTCCTTGAAGTTTTTTCTTTGTTTTCCTTTGGCGCGCTTTTTGCTTCTTTTTCCTGTTTTTTGCTTTTTGTCTGCTGCACTTTTTGTTGACTGGGGCCAGATGTTTTATAAGGCACAATCTTTAGATGTGAATGGTTCGATCTATTATGCAGTTGGTTTTTGAAACAAAAAGTTTGGAGAGCAGGATTAAGTGTATAACTTCCTCTTGCCCCTAGCTTGGTTGCTTTCAAAAAGTAGCCAAGGTACTATCAAAAATTTTAAGAATTTAACCAAACATAAGAACAGGGCTACAATCCTAGGCAGGATTGTCAAACTTTCTTATACTAAGAAAAATTTAGGAATTTAACAAAGCATAAGAACAAGACTACAATCTTGGGCAGGATTGTCAAACTTTCCCAAGCCCAAGAGTTGATTCTTGGGGTACAAACTAACTACAGTCCTGAGCTGGACTATTTCATGTTTTGATACTTCAGCAATTGCTAGAAATTATACTTGAATAATAGAACCATGCACACGTATAGAATGAACGAACTGATTTTATTGAACTAAAGAGCTGAAATCATATACGTACAAACTACTTTAATTCTGACATTTAATGAAAATAGATTCTGAGGTTTGCTGCATTTCATGGATGCGGTACAGTCTTACGTTCCATATCTTGCAAATAATAAGCTCCTTTCCCTCCAAGCGCAATAACTTTGTATAGCCCTTCCTAGTTAGGGCCCAATTTTCCATCGGTTGGCTTCCTCTGGTTGTCTAGAAATTTTCTGAGTACCAAATTCCCTAGCTGGAATGACCAAGGCTTGACTTTCTTGTTGTGGCATTTTGCAATCTACTCTTGGTAGTTGGCTAGACGGACTAACATTGCTGTCCTTTTTTCCTCATCAAGATCAATGCTTCATGCTATGGCTTGTTCATTCTAGGCAGGTTCATAAACTTTTTAATCTTATAGTTTGCATTCCTACTTCTAATGGAATTATTGCTTCCATTCCAAACGCCAGTGAGTAGGGTGTTTCTCCTATTGCTCTTTTGGGGGTGGTGCAATATGCCCAGAACACATTGGGCAGTTCGTCAACCCAACCTTCCCTTAAAGCTTTCCAAATGCTTTTAATTCCATTTAACACTATCTTGTTGGAGGCTTTAGCCTAACCATTGCTCTGGGTGTAGCTAGGGGTTAAGAAGGAATTCATTATCCCTAGTCCTGAGCAGTAGTTTTTGAACAAGTTGTAATCAAATTGCATTCCATTATGAGAAATGAAAGCATAAGTGATGCCAAACCTTGTTATGATGCTGCACCAGGGAAAAATTTTTATGTCCTTGACCTTGATAGTGATCAATGGCTCAGCTTTTCCCTATTTGATGAAATAAATTATTGACACTAATAAAAATTTCTTACCCCCTCTGCCTTTGGGAAGTGGTCCAATCAAGTCCATACCTCACTAAGCAAAAGGCCATGGGTCGGTCAATGGTTACAAATTTATGGGCTAGTTGGTAAATCAAAGGAGAAAAATGCTGCTACTTGTCACAATCCTTGTGCATGAATGGCCACTAGTAGCCGTGAGTAATTGCACGTTAGGGACTGCTACCCATTATGCATTCCATAAATGCCTTTGTGTGTTTCATAAAGGATATTTTCCACCAGAGCTAGGTGCATGCAGAACAAGTAAGGTCCAATGAATGACTTTATGTACAAGGCTCCTTTTTCTGAGATCCAAAACTTGGGTGCTCTCGTTATGATTTTGTTTGCTTCTTTTTTATCTTTTGGAAGTACTCATTCTCTGATATACTTGATGAGTAGATCCATCCAACTTGGTCCTAGATTGGTACATAGGACCAACTGTTTGTCCAATTCTACTTTAGAAATTCAATTTCGATCGTTCTGGCCTCAATTTTTCAACTGCTGAAGCAAGTGTGGCCAGGGCGTCGGCGTGAGCATTCTGCTTTCTTCCTATCTGGATAATCTTGAAGTTTTCAAACGTTTTTACTGAGTTATGAACCCTATCTAAATAAGACTGCATCCTTTCGTCTCTGGCAGAATATTCTCTTCATAATTGATTTACAACTAGCTGGGAGTCACAATGTACGATTATACCTTTGACGTTCAGGAGTTTACCAATCTTTAATCCTGCTAGGAGGGCTTTATATTTTGTTTCATTATTCAAGGCTTTAAATCCAAGGCGGATTGCGTGTTCATGTAGAATGACTTTGAGGAGAGAAGAGCTACTCTTGCTGCTGCGCCTTTAAAATTTGATGAGCCGTCGACAAAAAGCTTCCAGTTCTTAAGGTCTCAAACGTACATTTTCCAAACAGCCTCATGTTTTCGGGTAGGGTCAGGTTGGGCTGAATCCACTAGAAGTTTTGATCTTTGACATTGTTTTGGAGTTTGGGAGGTTGTGCCCTGTTGCCCCCTAGTTCTGGGGTTGATGATTCAGCCACTAAACTCAATGGTTGATGCTCGTATGAAAATTCTGCTACAAAGTTAGCTAAAATTTGGGCTTTGATGGCGGTTCTGGGCTGAAAAGTTACATCAAATTCTCCTAATTCTACTGCCCATTTAGCGATGTGCCCAGAAAAGTCAACTTTTTGTAAAAAACTCCGCAGAGGATGTTGAGTAAGTACTGTGATTGGATGACCTCGCAAGTAATGCATAAGTTTCCTAGTAGCCATTATCAAGGCCAAAGCTGTCTGGTTGCTACGTTGTTGAGAGTCTTATTGGTATAATAGATTGGTACTTGCGTTCCCTCCACGTCCTTGACTAGGATTGAACTGACCGCGTGTTCTGATACTGCTAAAATACAATACAACATTTCACTCTGTTATGGGGTTGAGAACAAAATGGGTGAAAGGAGGTACTGTTTTAATTCCTTCAATGCCTAGTCCCACTATTTATCCTAGTTCACTCCTCTCACTTTCTTGAGGAATTGAAAGAAGGGTTTGCATTTGTCTGAGGAGCGACTAATGAAGCGATTAAGTGTTGTTACCATCCCAGTCGACTTCTACACCTCTTTGAGCTTCCAGGGTGGCTGTAAGTTGGGGATGACCTTGACTTGCTGAGGGTCTGCTTCGATCCCTCTCCTCGTCACTAAGTAACCTAGAAACTTGTCTAAGCCAACACCAAAAGCACACTTAGTTGCATTTAATTTCAATTTGTATGCTTTAAGGGTGTCAAATGTAGTTTGTAGGTCCTTTAAATGTCCTGCTTCTAGTTTTCTTTTCACAACCAATTCATCAATATAAACTTCCATGGTCTTTCCAAGTTAGTCAACAAACATGGAAGTTACTAGCCGCTAGTAAATGGCTCCAACATTTTTTAACTCAAAAGGCATTACTCTACAGCAGTACAAACCTCTAGGAGTTATAAAGGTAGTCTTTTCTTGGTCAGGTTCGTGCATTGATATTTGATGCTAACCCCTATAGGCATCTAAAAAGCTCATTCTAGCATGCCTAGAAGTTGCATCCACTAGTTGGTTTATCCTGGGTAGGGGGGAAGCAATCTTTTGGGCAAGCTCTGTTAAAGGCTAGTAAAATCTACACATACCCTCCATTTTTTGTTTTTGTTTTTCTTTTTAACAACAATAGTGTTTAAGAGCCAAGTGGGGTAATAAATTTATTTTATGGTTTTAGCATCTAGAAGTCTATCAATTTCCTTAATCACCGCTTGAACGTGATCCACATGTGTCCGTCTACTCCTTTGTACGACTGGTCTATATGTGGAATCCACGTTCAAATGATGACTGATAATACTGGGGTCTACTCCAGGCATTTCATACAGGGTCCAAGCAGAAATCTCAATATTATCCAACAGAAATTTAATAAAGGGTTGTTTTTCCTAATCAGATAAAGAGGATCTGAGCAGAAAATACCTATGTGGATTGTCAGATTGTGCAGCTCTTCCATTATGCGCTCTTCTGACTTCTTTCCAATATCTTCCAAAACTAGAGCAAACTAATTTCTGGGTCCTCTTTGCCTCATTCTGTCCTAGGGCCAGCATTAAACAGCAACATGCAGCTGCATGATAGCCTCTGATTGTTTCAATCCTACATTGATTGTTTGGAAATTTAAAGGCTTAGTGAAACGTTGAGGGCACCCCTTTAAGTTGGTGTAGCCACGGTCTCCCCATGATTGCATTATAAGGCGATGGTATGTCAACTACCAAGAAACAGACTGGAAAACAAACAGATCATGTCCTTACCGGTAACGTGACCTTCCTCACTGGCCAAACCGGATTGGAATTGAAACCTAGGTGTGGCAGTCCACTCTTCTTAGTTCTGCTCCTTCAGACTGAGACTCTGGAACAACTTCTAATACATAATTTTTGCAATGCTGCCTTCGTCCACTGATGTTTGAATTGGGTGATTTAGAGAGAAAAGAAAAGAAAGAAATGGAGAGATGCGATTCGGTGAGAAAAGAAAAGAAAGAAATGGAGAGATATATTTTTTTTTTTATTTGTTTGGATAATTTAAGTAGAAAGAAATGGAAAGACGATGAGAGAAATTGAGAGAAACTAATTTCTCTTATAAGTTTTATTTTTAATTTTTTAAAAAATGGAGAGGTTGGGAGAAAAAAGAAATCACTATTTTTATAATATCAATTTTGTCGTTATAAAAATAAAAGAAATAAAATGATTAAAAATATAAAAATATTATTTTGATAATATAATATAAAATAATTTATTTTCTTTTCTCTTAATAAAATCTAACCAAACAAGAATGAGAGAAATTATAATTATTTTTTTTAAATTTCTTTTTTATCCAAACAAAAATGAGAAAAATTATAATTATTTCATTTCTTTTATTTTCTTCTATTACTTAAATAATCATTTCTTTTTTTTTTTTTTTCTAAGTTCCCGAACACAGTATCTTGAGGCTTTTCCCAATATAAGCCTTTTTTACATTGTATTTCCAAAACTAGGCCAACTTCTGACGGAATTCCAAAACTAAGCTAAAGCGCCATTACTATTCGCGCTTTTACTGTTAGGAGCGCAAAAGTAGATGAATAGGAAAATCGCTATTACAAATAGCGACTTTGATTAAGAAGTTGCTGTTACAAATAGCGCTTCTAGGGTTAATTTTTTTCCCAAGGAAAACGCTGTTAAGAACAGCGTTTTTTACACAAAATTGTTTTGCCAGAAAAACGCTATTGCTAATAGCGATTTTACGCAAAAATTTTTTGCCAGAAAAACGTTATTGCTAATAGCGAGTTCACTTAAATGAAAACGCTTTTTCAATCAGCGTTTTTAACGTCCCTCATATATACGAAGCCCCTCCCTCATTTGCATACGTTTTTCAGACTTAGGTTTTTCGGGTCTTGCTCTCCATCTCGCTCTCAGCTCACTCTCCATCTCTCAGCCTCTCCATCTCTCACCCTCCTCCATCTCAGCTCATCTCAGCTCGCTCTCGCTCTCTGCTCTGCTCTCTGCTCTCACTCTCTGTCTCTGCTCTCTCTCTCTCTCCGTGTGGTATGACATTAACCCTAATTTTATGTATTTAGTTTTTGTGTTTGTAAATGTGTTGTATTTTTCTGTCAATGTTAGGGTTTTACATGTGAATTATTAAATGTGTTAGGGATTTTATCATTGTGGTTATGAAATTAGGGTTTGAAATTTTTTGAAATCAGGGTTAGGGTTTTTCTGTCAATGTTAGGGTTTTTAAATGTATTTGAATTTTTTGGAATCAGGGTTAGTTTTTGAATTTTTTGGAATTATTAAATGTATTTTTCTGTCAATGTTAGGGTTTTACATGTGAATTATTAAATGTGTTAGGGATTTTATCATTGTGGTTATGAAATTAGGGTTTGAAATTTTTTGAAATCAGGGTTAGGGTTTTTCTATCAATGTTAGGGTTTTTAAATGTATTTGAATTTTTTGGAATCAGGGTTAGTTTTTGAATTTTTTGGAATTATTAAATGTATTTTTCTGTCAATGTTAGGGTTTTACATGTGAATTATTAAATGTGTTAGGGATTTTATCATTGTGGTTATGAAATTAGGGTTTGAAATTTTTTGAAATCAGGGTTAGGGTTTTTCTATCAATGTTAGGGTTTTTAAATGTATTTGAATTTTTTGGAATCAGGGTTAGTTTTTGAATTTTTTGGAATTATTAAATGTATTTTTCTGTCAATGTTAGGGTTTTACATGTGAATTATTAAATGTGTTAGGGATTTTATCATTGTGGTTATGAAATTAGGGTTTGAAATTTTTTGAAATCAGGGTTAGGGTTTTTCTATCAATGTTAGGGTTTTTAAATGTATTTGAATTTTTTGGAATCAGGGTTAGTTTTTGAATTTTTTGGAATTATTAAATGTATTTTTCTGTCAATGTTAGGGTTTTACATGTGAATTATTAAATGTGTTAGGGATTTTATCATTGTGGTTATGAAATTAGGGTTTGAAATTTTTTGAAATCAGGGTTAGGGTTTTTCTATCAATGTTAGGGTTTTTAAATGTATTTGAATTTTTTGGAATCAGGGTTAGTTTTTGAATTTTTTGGAATTATTAAATGTATTTTTCTGTCAATGTTAGGGTTTTTATCATTGTGGTTATGAAATTAAGGTTTGGAATTTTTTGGCATACGGGTTAGGGTTTTTCTGTCAATGTTAGGGTTTTTAAATGTATTTGAATTTTTTGGAATCAGGGTTAGTTTTTGAATTTTTTGGAATTATTAAATGTATTTTTCTGTCAATGTTAGGGTTTTTATCATTGTGGTTATGAAATTAAGGTTTGGAATTTTTGGAAATTAGAAATGCGAATGGTTTTGAATTTGTGGAATTTTTTTGCTTTTGAATTTTTGGATGTTGCTTGTGAATTGAATATGGTTATGAATTTTTATGCTTTGTCAGTGTGGTTGTGGTGATGAAATTAGGGTGTCATTTTATTAGGATGAAATTAGGATGAAATTGTGGTGATGAAATTCAGATTGTTCACATTATTAGGATTGTTCAAATTAGGATGTAACTATCCAAAATGTAGTCCATACATTTAACCACCAACTTCAATTTAATTATCTGTAATTTTTTGCCATTATAAATTATTTCTGTAATTATTTTTTTTGTTTTTGTATGTGTAAGAAAAAAAAGGAGTAAATAAATTTAATTTTTTTCTTACTTTTCAGAACAATCCAAAATGATCCAAAATCAGTTTGTTGTTTTAATTTTATAAGAAAGCCTCTATGCCCTCTACAAAATGGACGAGGGTTACTAGTTCACATAGGAAATAACTTTGTCATTAAGGTCCGTAATGTTACAAGTTGGAGCAAATCAAATTAACTTATATTTTCCATAAATCTGAACAATTACATCACCAGGTTAAAAAATCTCTCTCAATGTTTGCACCCTGTATTTTATATTGTCCAAATCAATCGCGTCACCCTCTACTAAATATCTCTCAACCTATTTTATTTTTCGCCACTAATTCGAAAGAATTAAGACAACAAGTATACTTCTTGTTATGTGTTTTTTAGATTAAGACAATAGAGCAATGACAACAAAGAACATTCACGTTGAAAAGATAATAGTCTTCACATAGGAAGTAAATGAGACACAATCTATAACTCCACGTATAGATGAAATCTCAGCTGTTCTGTTATACGAATAAAAATAAGTGAAAAAAATGAGAAAATAAACAGTAATAATCAAGTTGAGACACAAATATATAGTTGACAAAATACAAATTGAATTAATGTTTCACCTCTACAGTTCCTTCAACCCTGGAAAATATAAATTGATAAAAAATTAGAGGGTTGCTTTTATTTGTGGCTTCTGCAAATTTTAATGTTTATTTTACAAGTACAATTCAATATATGTATATTGTTGATATTTTAATATTTATTGTTTCATTGAAGCAAGTATATGGCAACTGTTCCAATTATCTTTTACTGGGGGGGAAACATAATTCGGGATCCCGATGAAGGTGTGTCATATGATGCTGAGCCGAAAGGGATATATATGGTGCAACTTGGCACCACACTTGGCAATTTGGAGGAGATGTTTATGTCCAAGGTCGCAAGTTACGGGGAAACAGTCCGATTGATCTTCAAATGTAGATATCCTTATCGCCAGTGGCAAGCAACCAGCAAATACAAAGTATTACCGATAAATGACGATGAGGCGTTGAACACCGTTTTAAGTATCGGTGGAAATTTCGAACCACCAAATTGTTTGGAAGTGTACATTCAGAAAGAGGTTGTACAGAATCTTCCGAATATAACACCGATGGATTCGCATCCGTTCACTACATTGCTGACACATGGGGTTGACACGACAGCATTTCAGTCTCCTATGTATGAATCAAATGAATGTTATGCAGCTGGCTACACACAACAGACATTTCATGGCCATGGTGGAGAATCAAGTTCACGTGGTGGATACGAGACTGAATTTCACAATAACACCCAAGATGTGCCCACCTATAGCCATCATACGACTCCAGTTGAAGTTGCTGGTAATATGGCTGAAACGGTTAATTCTGTGCAGTTTGCTGACAGTGACATGTACGATCCTGATGTTGCCCTAGACAATGATGAGAATGAAATGTGTGATGAAGAAAATTTATTGGGCAGATCAGATGATGATGATGATGAAGAAGATGATGAAGAAGATGATGTCGATATTCAGAATGCCCCCATTCCACCTAGACCTGAAATCCCTTTCTTTGAAAACATTCACATGGGTGGTGATTTTGACATTAGTAACCGCGATGTCAACCGAATCTGGAATGCTGAAAATCCAGAGTTGGACAAAGGGATGGTTTTAGTTGATAAGAAGCAACTCGTACATGCTGTGAAATTGTACCATGCAACAAATAATCGAGAGTACAAAGTCGTAACCTCCAAGCGAGACGTTTAGGTGTGTGCTTGCAAGCACGACTGTAGATGGTGGTTGCGTGCATCTCTTAGTAAGAGACATGGGCTTTTTGAAATAAAGCAGTATAGGGGTCCTCACCATTGTTTATACCCACGAACGAACAGGGACCACACAAATATTAGCTCCAGTTACATTGCTTCTCATCTTTTGGGACAAGTTGCAGTGAGTATACAAAATAAATGTTTACATATATATACATATTTGTTTGTTTAAAGTGTTCACACCAAAATAATTTGTTTGTCGTATGCAGAATGAACCTGATATGCCCATTAAGAATGTCATCGAAGACATAAAAAAATCCATGAACTATACTATACATTACAAGAAGGCGTGGCATGCAAGGGCAAAGGCAATTCGAATGGTTTAGGGTTTTTAAATGTATTTGAATTTTTTGGAATCAGGGTTAGTTTTTGAATTTTTTGGAATTATTAAATGTATTTTTCTGTCAATGTTAGGGTTTTTAAATGTATTTGAATTTTTTGGAATCAGG